GGGTCTGCGGGGCAGCAGCGCAGGTGCTCCTGGCATGGGGCTCACTGGATTATTTTTAATAAATGGCTGCAGCAGTTGGCCAAGCCTTCTGCTTCCTGGGGAGAATGTCTGAGGCTGGAAGCATTCGCTCAGCATGAAAGATGGAGTCCCACCTACAGGGAGGGAAGGACCGCCTGAGGAGGGCACAGGCCGGCTGGGACCCGACCTCATTGGCGCTGGGTGGGCCGGTGCCCGCGAATCCTAAGGAGATCTGCACTGATGGAAATGGGCCCCAGGCCGTCCTCCCATCTGGGCAGGAGCCTGTGGGAGAAGGACCAGCCGGGCGCCACCACAGAGGACACCAGGCCAGCGCCTACGATACCAGCCTAACATCCTGTTCACAAGGTGCATATTCAGACGAGAGCCATCAGCAGGACACGGGAGAAAAACCACGTGGAACAGAAAGCCACTGCCCCTGGCCTGGAGGACACGGGCCAGGGCATCTCCTCAGAGGAGCTGAGCAGAAGGCAAGGCCGCAGAACAAGAGGCTCCCTCAAGAGGAAGAATGGAGCGTAAGGGAGAGACTTAAATCATGAAAATAGGCTGCGAAAATTAGGAGGGAAAGGCAGTTGAAGAGCTGTAGGATAAACTGAAGAAATCTCCAAAAACGTTGAGTAAAAGAACGAAGAGACTAAAATTTAAAAAGTAAAAGTAGATTAACACAGAGCACTGAAAATTTAACAAAAATGTGTGTAAATGAAGGAATTCATCAAACACATGATAAAAAGAAAAGTATACAAATAGCTTAAATATGTCAAGAAAGGTGAATGGCTAACACCTAAACATATATTTATATCCAAGTTAAAAAAAAAAGGCCTTTCCCCCTCCCAGGTAGGGGTGAGTGCTGGTCACTGCAGAGAAAACGTGAGGCAGGTACAACGTTTCTCATCAGAAATATTGGATAAAAGATAATGGAAACATTCCTCCAAAATACTAAGAGAAAATGATGGAAAGTTTAGAAGTCCCCCCCATGACCCTATTGAGATGGATGAGAAGCAAATCAAGGCATTTTGAGATGTGGGAATATCCACAAAGTTGATCTACCATCCTTTTAGATGATGCTTCTGGGAGCAGCTTTCTATGAGTGGAGAAAAAGCGGGGAAGACGGCAATGATCTCAGAGACAGTGTCCAACCGGGAGAGCGGGGTGCAGGGTCTGTAGAGCATGCACCTCGTTGGCCCGGCGGGGTAGTTCTCCAGGAGGGAGGCAGGTGCTCTCTGCGAGATGCTGCCCTAGAGGCCACATGACTTAGCAGGTATGGTAAAGGCACAATCTTCCTTTCTTTTTTCTTTTTCAGAAAGAAAAAAGACATTCCAGAAAAGAAAAAAACAAAACAAAACACACAGTATTTCAAAAGCGATGTAAATCTAGAAACGCACGCGATTCAAACTTAAACAGCATGACTTGGAGCTTGGGCTGGAAGCAGGCAGCATCTGTGTGGCCTGGACGCCAGGTAGCCAGGCTCCCTTTCTGGGGGGAACTCTGCTGGGAGGGTTGAACATGGCTCTGCTTGGCTCTGTGCCGGGAATACCTACAACACTCTAGATGCTGTTCAGCTCTTAGAATCACTCAAAAGACAAAATAGAGAAGACTTACTTATGGACGTAAGAAGGGACATAAATACCAGCTATGGTGGTGTAAAGATGTAACATGCATAACTGGGAGAAGCTGGGTAGTGGAGGACGGGCTGAGGGCTGCCATCCTCAACTCACAGAACAGGGGGTGAAATCATACCTTCTAAATTTGATGCAATAAGAAATAAAGATTTATTGTCTATAATTGTGCATCACAAACATAATAATGGAAAATGAAGAAGTATCAAATTTTAATAGCATGAGTCAATAGATGTTATCTAAAACTGAAAATCTAGACATATAGAAGCAATATAGTACTTAGAGTCACAAGAACAAAATTGAAAATGGTTAGAGTGGCTTCTGAGTGAAGGGAAGTGAGTGGCAAAGTGGGAGAAGGTGGCTTTTCATTCAGAAGTTCTCTCCTTTAGAATCTTTACCATACGACTGCATTGCTTTGTTAAAAAATAAAAACTATTCTGTTCACAAGTACATATTTCCGTGATCATATTTCTCATAATGGCTAAGAAATGGTCTCCCATTCATAAACAGAGCTTTCAGGAGCTAATTAATGTGAGTGAGTTGGCATTCCACCTAAAACTGGAGGGGCAAATCAAATTGTGTTTTATTTCAAAATAAGTTTAATTTTAAAAGATCGTGACATATACAGCAACTAGAACAAGACAGATTACTCTGAGAGTTTCTCAGGCATTTGCTTGAATGACTGAACTAGAATTAAGAGTAAATGGCACATCAACTTTAAGTAAATGAGTATCTGAAAGTGTTTGTATTGGTAACTTTGCACATTTCTAATTTTTAAAAACCAATGTTTATCTCTTTACAATAGGAAAGTAAATTTCGGCAAGTTCTTTAATGTTCAGAAGTCACTAATTGTGAAGTCTCATTTTCATATAATAAGTTTAATCCATATAGATGAATCACCTACACGTAAAGCATGGTATTCTCTGGCAACCTAGAAGTGTTATTTCCCCGCAAGCCTCTGTAAAACATTACTCTTTTCCACGTGAAGTTTGAGAGCAGTTTATAAAACTCACTGGATTTGTCACCCCAGAAATGGAAAGCTATTGGCCGATCACAGTTCTGGGGCCGAGAGATGCTAAACAAATCACGTTCCAGGTCATACTCACTGACGCCTCTGGGACTGGAAGCGCCCTGCACAGTAAGGAAGCCAGAGTGGCTGATGCCTCCCCCCTCTGCTTCCCTCCCCCCTCTGCTTCCCTCCCCCCCGCTTCCCTCCCCCCTCTGCTTCCCTCCCCCCTCTGCTTCCCTCCCCC